GGAGCTCGAATGATTTGTAGAGGAACCCTACCTTCTCTCGTCCATTCGACACGTGCAATTTCTTTTCCTTCCATACCTAAGGTCATTCAAGGAAACAGACTGCTTTTGATGGGTATCAAGATTGTTGAACAACAAGGTAAAGTGTTGTGAACCTCCTGTCTTTGACACTACGAACCTAGCTAGATTCTCTTTCAGCTGGAAAGAGTAAAGAAAGGCTGATCTCCTGTGGTTGTTTATTCACTCACCGGCTATATATAGGGAAAGGGAGACTCCCAGCCTTCCATGAATAGAACACCAAGGAACCTTTCTGGATCTGCTTACTGCTAGCGAAGAGGAAAAGGAATGCTTGTTGATTGGACTGATGCGAGATAGCTAGATAGTAACTCTAACTGTCCTAAGGTAGCGAAATTCCTTGTCGCATAAGTAGCGACCTGCAAGAATGGTGTAACGACTGCCCCGCTGTCTCCGACATGGACCCGGTGAAATTGAATTCTCCGTGAAGATGCGGAGTACCAACGGCTAGTATCTGGACTCCACATACTTACTGGAAATTTTGTCAAGATCCTTCTCACATACATCAGACACACTGGTATGGATTACCTATTAGTTGCCTAGCTGTACTATCTCAGCATGGCAGCCTTTACTATGCTTAAGGCATGGAATTTATTTACCAACTTTCGTCCAATTGCCTCCAGTTGCAGCCTTCCAGTCTTATATATAAGTAGTCCAATCCCCTTGTTGTCGTATAGCGAAGACTAAGAATGTAGAAGGTATGGAATGATTACAGAATGGCTCAAGCAAAAAAGTATTGCCCGAACACTCACTGCAAAGACGGGAGAACTCTTATATCGTTTTATTTATTACTTTTTTTATAATATTCCTTCTGAGTTGTTCCGTTGTTTTTTTTAGTCAGACTTCTAGAACTAGAATAAATCTGACTAAGGAAGAAGAAGCAAAAATAGGTTTCTTTTTGGGGCTAATTTCTTTTCCCGTGGCCTGCTTCATTTCTCTATTTTTCCTATCTTATAGCGGGTTGGCTCTAAATAATGAGCTGAACATTATTTATTGCTTTTGCCAGAATATTAGCTCCGGGCTTGCTATGACGTTTGAAAGTGGGTCGATCAATCAATGAAATAATTACTACAATTGTGGTGGTACCAACATGGCCAGTTAGCTCAGAAACCCTCTACCCACTATAAGAAAAGTAAAGGCGCTTACCCACTCTAATAGTTCGCCTTACGGCTCACCTTGGAAGTATGGCTTACCTGAAAAACTTCCACTCCCCTTTTTTTCCTATCGCTTTGCTAGACTCCTCTACACCTATCTTATGAAATCCGTGCCGTTAAATTTCCTTTTTCCCTCCCTCCTGTCTCACCGCAACCTGTCGCCTAAAACAGGAGAATCGAAGGAAAGCAAGTTTAGGCTTCAAGTCAACTACATCTCAAAGCCTCGAAGGTTATAAGAAAGCAAGCTAGGCCCCTCATTCAATTGAAAGGGAAGAGCCCGGCAAAGTCCGAAAAAAGAGATTGAATACCCGGAATTCGCCGAGAAACCCCTCCCTTTGAAGTAATTCAATCTTTTCAGCCAGAGGTTCCAAGTCCGTAAGCTACTCTGATTGAACTCGACATCAGTGATTTCGAGCGTTACTGAAAAGCAAGGGCATTTTTGAAAAGACCCTACCTTTACCATTCTCGATGCAGCGGGAACGCTCACTCGCACCAACGGATACTGTCACAGCTAATTGAAGTGCTAGTCCAGCAACTGCAGTTGTCTTTCTGTTTGCAATTGAATCACTAAAGTTGGAGGACTCCTGACGTATATGAAGGAGTGTGGTTCGTTCGAGAAATTCCGACCGACTTCTCTATTTCTTTCTGAGATGTTTGGATTTTTCAAAACTCTATGGACATGCAGAAGAGATATGCTATTCCCACTCGGACCAAGACATAACTTTACTTGTTAAAATAACAATTAAGGTGAAGCAGAGTCAGGAACAACGAATCCCTTTATGAGAAAAAGATTCTTTTTGCAAGTTGGTTATTAGGGGCTATCCGTAAATGGATTTGTATGTATAGCCACTTCAGTCGTGCTCGTTGTTTCTCTAAAGTATCTTTTTTCTGGGAACATGGTCAACCATAAATTATTATTTTCGCTATTCTTCATCCACCGATGCAGAAAATTATCCAGTTTTCCATTCTCATATGAGGCCGGAAAGTTTATTGGCAACAGGTCGGCACGAAGTGATTCATCATGCTCAAACATGAGGGTAAAGCTCCCGCCCTTAATAAAGAGGCTTAAGTTATCGGTTCGAATCCAATAAAGGGCTTTCGGGTGTTCCAAACACTCTTTTTTTCGGTATGCCGCTCCGCCAGCAAGGAGTGCCAGAGCAATAATCAAATAAATCTAAGAATGGAAAATCAACTCATAACTCATTCCTTCATGGAAAACTAGTTTATTTCATATACCTCTGCTTGAAGAGAAGTAGAGCGGCTCAGGAACATCTTGGTAGAAGTACCGATATGGAGCAATTGTTGTCGGTCTATCTGTCTTCGGTGTTGATATGATCTTTCTATCAAGAGAAAATCGGGAATTGCCGCTAGGCTTTTCTTTTAGCTCTCACTCATCCCGGGCGATTCTTATTATTCTTGGCCACCTGGACTCCTTTACTTAGTGGGTAGGAATGAAATATAGAGTTTTTTATTCACGGAGCTACCACTACTTGAGCTTACACCCGGACTCTTACTGTAGTCTCATTTCCAGTATCCTATAAAAGAAAAATACAAGTCCGTTTTTATATTCCTTATAGCACGGGGTGAAGGGATAGACCGAACCAGCTCACTAACGAAATTTAAGATCAGGGAATGTTACCCGAAGCATATCTCGTTGGATGGATGTCGTTGCCGCGAAGTGAGCTTTTATGGGACTTTCACAAAGCGGACTACTATCAGTAGTATATGCCTTCCCTGGGAAAAGCGGTAGAACATCCTGATCTCAAAGCTTATAGTATTCTTAGTTAACGTTAGAGAACTGGATTATCTGAGCATCGTCTATCTAATAGAGTCATAAGCTGGATCTACTGCTTAACCAAATGAGTCCTATTTAGGAGGTAGTATAGACTTCTGGACCCGAAGACTCAGATGAGTATGCCTCATATGTCTTAATCTTGGATTACTTTTTGAAAAAGTAGAAATCCATTTTCTGGTAGTAATAAAACTATTCCAATTACAAAAATTATAAAGAAACAGCCTTAATAAATGAAAAAAAGGGGCATCTTTCACCTCCAATCTGAGTTTTGCTCACGTCTCGAATGAATTCAAGGACATATTCAAAGAAATTCTGACCAGACGTGGGAATAGTTTGTGGATTTCTAACAACTAGAATGGTTGAAATTAATAAGATAGCAATTACAACCCAAGAGGTAATAAGTACTTGAGCATGCACTTGAAAATCCCCTATTTGCCAATAGAAATGTTGACCTACTTCCACAGCAGATATATCATAGAATCTGCTACCAGTTCCTTACTCAAAGAACTCGTACCGGTACTCTTGAGTTCACAACCCTAAAAACCTTAGATTGGAGTAGAAACTCGATCCTACTAATTACGTAGAACCATGAACCATCGATCGCCTCTCGTTCCTCTTCTCCCATTTGACAACCGTATCTCAGAATGTTCGGATGATTCTCTGGAACTAATATATGCTTTCGTACTTTTTGTTTTTTTTTATTGTTCTTGTTCCTTTCATTTTTATTATCGGGTGTCTTGAACAGTTCACACTCCTTCAATGGAAGAAGAAGGCGATGCAGCGCGCTTAGCTACTGCCTATAAGCAACGCCATTTTCATAGTTACGGTGCCCGCTGTTAAAATGAGGTCTGCCTGCCTAGGACTAGAGCGTGGTACCAGTCCATAACGATCGAAGTCAAATCGCGATCCTATTAATGAAGCAAATTCAATGCTCTTCTCTTGGTCTTCGAGTGCTGGGACCCTATCTTCTCTCGCTCGATTGGGCGCTACTTGCCTATTGACAGAAGTCATCTCCGAAAAAGTCTTCGTGCTCAACTCGCTTTGTTTGTTGATGTCACAAGGGCTGGAAGAGGAATTGCCCGATTCGATGTTGCGGGCAGCTGTGTGACAACACTACAGAGAAAGCGGCGCTTTCGTTTAACATGCTATGGTCTCAACGCCCTTACGAGATAGTGATGAGTTTCACGCGCTCTAACAAGCAAAGATGCCACCGGTTAAGAGTTGTAGATTGTGCTTCATATTCTTTATGTATTATCCATTCATTCGGACTTCGAACAAGCCTTAGGTTGAATCCCGACATGGGTGAGTAGGGATTCCAGGACAGTTTCAAGCAGCTTCTTCGGGCCGATTACTCATTCGCTTTGTTACGAAAGAAGTTGCAAGGTGCGAGATGCTTATTAGTAAGATAGGTTGCCCCTTTCCCCTTTTTCTAAGAAGAAGGTAAGCATCCCTCACTGCCGATCGCCTTCAGCAGGGTGAGCCTTCGCTTTTTGGATCGTCTTCTGCCCAATGTCAATGTGGTACCCTCCCGTTTTTGGTTCCCATTGGGTTTACCTTGTTTACAGGTCGACCCCATGGCAGCAAGAAAAAAAAGGCAATCTTGTGCTATACTCCAGTGATCTCTTTCCTACCGCCGCTTTCTCTTCTCCCCAGCACTCTCGGACTGATCATCTTACTGCAACAAAGCAAGCTTAGGAATGAATCTAATGGAAATTTAGGTCTCTGTCCGCTTGGAAGATTTTTATTTCCTCTTCGGTGAAAGCAAGAAGAGAAAGACGTCCCAGATACAACCACCCATTTCACTCAAAGATAGTCTCGTTTGGCCTAAGGTGAAAGACGCGGATTGCACAGAGATTAACATGATATAACCTCCGATCCGGCCTCAACACAGGAATAGCCCTGATCTGCACAACGTTATATCCCATATCGTTAAGAATGCACCTTTGAATTTGGAATCCAAAAATGTTGGTGTTGTATTAATGGGTGATGGTTTGATGATACAAGAGGGAAGTTCCGTAAAAGCAACAGGAATAATTGCTCAGATACCAGTAAGTGAGGGTTATTTGGGTCGTGTTGTAAATGCCCTAGCTAAACCTATTGACGGTCGAGGAGAAATTTCAGCTTCGGAATCTCGGTTAATTGAATCTCCCGCTCCCGGTATTATTTCCAGACGTTCCGTGTATGAGCCTCTTCAAACGGGACTTATTGCTATTGATTCTATGATCTGCCAAAGGAATGAAACAAATGCTCAACACATGCCTCCTATTGGAGAAGCTTCTTTCATTCATTTCCCTTACCAGCCGGGACATCTGCTCCTAAAATGGTAACTTCACTCTGCCCGCTCCGTTTGGTTCATCATGTGGACAATTCCTCCACAAAAAATATTATTGTCTGGAAATGCATGCTTTTATGGAGGGGTTATTTCCCTCGTCGCTTACCCAGAGGGAGTGCCCTATAAGCCAATGCCATTCCATTCATTTCCCGTTACCTGCCAGCCATTAATTAGGAATTAGGAGTTCTGTCCATGCGATCTAACAGACTAACAGGACAAGCAGTAGTTTTGACGAGAAAATGGGAACAGCGGCTTAAGCCATTAGGTGTAGGCGCCTTTCAGAGGTGGAATCTTCTAGTTCTTCCTATTTGACCCGAAACCGATTGATCTAGCCATGAGCAGGTTGAAGAGAGCTCTAACAGGCCTTGGAGGACCGAACCCACCTTTATATTGAAACCAGAAAACACGGGACCTTGCCGATGACTCCTACTAAAGATGGTCGTAGATATATGCTTGCAAAACATGCTTTGGAGTTGTCCAGATTCTTGAATATACCATTGGACATTATTTACAAAGAATACGAAGGGAGGGCCCGGCGCGCGCAATCCTATCCTCGTCCGAGTTTACCCCTTGCACTTCGGACAGTCGTCCGTAGCATCATAAGGAGGACCTCCCGGGTCAAAAAAATGGTACGGGAATACTAAATACTCCATACTAGTAATACTAGTAGTATAAATATAGTTGAAATACTTTTTGTAATCGAAAGAATGAATCAATTCATTTCTATTTAGTGCGTCTAACTGGACTTGATGGGGGACCCAACTAACCCGACTTTTTCCAAGCAATCATAGATCTCATCGGCCTTTGAGACATCGTACGTGAAGTCACGTGGCCCTTTCAACCCCTTACGCAATGAAGCAAAGTTCTGAACTTTAGTCAGGGTCAACTCAAGATAACTCTTTCATCCGTCGAAGCAGAGACAAGAATTTCTACTTGAACTAGGTCTCGCTCTCAACGCTTTGTTGGCTGACAGCCCCTATCGCTAATCAGAGAGAGGTAGCGAATCTAATGTTGTGGCGGCCTTGAGCTCTTCTTCTTTCCGCCCTCTTTGCCGCAGCTATTCCATCTGGTGGTATACTAGCTTCCTCTTTCTTTCGGTCTTACGATCCACTTAGTTCTAGTAGAAGCTGTTCCGGTCATCGTAACATCAGTCGGCGATTCCATTCCTGTCGAAGGCTAAGTCCCTGGAATCTTCGACAGTAGGGTCAGAATCAACCTAGTTCTCATAGCAGGGAGTAGCGACTGCTTAGTCTGTTAAGCTGCAATTTGTTAATTGAAATGCGACTTCCAGACTGGTAGTTGTGTGCGGGGTGAAAGGACGAGAACCTGCTGGCATCGATACGGACTGACTTCTTAATTAGCTGTCATCAGGCTAGCCCGCTTGAGCGATTCCTTACGCTTTGGAGATTTAGGAAAGCATGCTCCACCTTCTGCAGATGAGCCGAATTGACTCCTATTTTTTTAGGTTTAGTATCGAGTTAATTCTAAAACAATAGAAATTAGAGGATTTCTAGAACATTAAAATCCTATGCACTATTTCCGGTTCACTGATAAGGAAGATAGAGTTGGGGTGGGGGTCTACGATGTGATACTCAAGTATGACCCGGGGAGATACATGCTAACTATGGGTAGAAAGCAGGAACCCTTATGTAAAAAATTTCGGGGGGTTACAGATCAGATCTCTTATACTACCATCGATCGACAGAGCGGAACGACCAGAAAAAAAAGTTAAGATTCCAATTGGAGTAAATTTCCACCCTCTGATGATCCATTCCGCCCTTCCGTATAGCCAGAAAGGTATGGAATCTTATGGATGACTTGAAGTAGTTCTTCCACCCCCTCCTCTTTCACCTATCCCTTAACTCCCCAGGGGATTCCGTACAGCTATACAATCACGGTTAATCGCTCGGAGGGAGGGAATAGAAGCAAGCATATTCCGTTCAGTCGGTAATGAATCAATACGCAGGGAAACTTTCTTCCATGGGAATGGCAAGTCTCGGACAGGCTCATATTGGTTGGGTATGCTCTTTCCATAGGCTACTTTCTAGAAGGTCTTCAAGGTGGATATGCTCTTCTTCGATGGTCTTTCTGAGAAGAAGATTCATAATTAACTACAATTTTTGACGGCATCGTCGTATGCTCGACATTGGTTGCCCAGGTTTATATCCCGGAGTACTCCTATGGCCGATCTGTCACCCAACCTACTCAAAAATCTAAAGGCTTGACCCCGTCCCGTTTGGAGAATGACCCTTATGGCCCAGATCTGTTTTGTGCTCGGCTTGATGCCATCTCAGATGTCCATTCAAGTAGCCTGCCTACCCTATTTTATCTTAGAGAGGGGGCCTAGCGTGCCTATTATTTTGCTACAACTATTGTGATTTCCACTGCTGCTCCTTCTTTTGCTACCTTGCGAGGGTTCGCCGCGGTTCATTGCTATGCTTACACACTAGGCTACCCTTCTCCGAAAGCTCTGCGGGACCACCTACCACTAGTCTTCGGCCGGAGGGGTTTATTGCACAAAAACGCCGGGACGCAGGCTCCCGAAGTCGAAATCCTCGCGAACAGGTGAAATAGCCCGCTGGAGAACCATTAATAAGAATCGACATATGTATGAGCTGAATGGAAAATAAAATAACATTGATCCAGTCGAAGAAAACCTGCTTCAGAGCGAGTACTCCGCCTAGCCTATCTTACGGCCGACCCCCTTGGAATGGAAGGCGCTAGCGCTGGGGCTGAAGGCCCAAGGCTGTTGGTTTTGGAATAGGATTAGACTTGTCCAGAAGATCTGCCCTTTCCAGCACAAGGAACCTTATAGCACTTGGAAAAAAGCGGGCGGCTCTGGATCTGGCATCAACAACGGATCCTGTCTGATCAGAGCACCGGTTCCTTCAATCTTATGTCGTGAGGGATGTGACCTATGTTAGGTCCATAAAATACCACCGCTTTTGGTGTTCTATGATTCACCTCCGAATAATGAGTAGGTAGTTCGATCCTTTTGATTCTTCTCTTCATAGTAAACTGATGGGGGGATGAGGAGCAATAGGTCGAATTACTATATAAAGAAGAGTTGTAAACTATAGGACTTCTTGTTCGATTCCTCTATTTAAGTGGTTCTCGCTTCTCCTTGTTCCTGTTCCTAACTCTTCCCCGGGTAGTTCCCAATGTTTGGTACTTTCTATACTTCGTGGGTGCAACATCAACAAATTCGCTCATGATCAAGTTACAACCTAAGATCTATGACCATATTATGCTAACTGTTCGTATTTCGTTCATTCCATCGGTATGCTCTCAGGTACCTGTAATTGTGATCTGTTTTCGTCAGCGCAGGAAGGCCCACCGAGCGAAGCTCTTTCTTTTTTGCCGTGCCGTGAAGTGAAATTGTATCGTATGTTAGTTAGAGAGGTTGGCGAACTACTATGATCTATAGATTCCCCAGAGATAAAAAATCCCAACGAGAATAGAAGCGACCTCCCAATCAACGATGATCTCAGTAGCGCGAACTATAGTAACAAGGCTCTAGCCAACCTAGTGGAGTAAGTGGAGGACGTTGATAGACGATTTGGTCTACTACCTCGGCTTGATCTATTGGGACAGTTTTTTCTTTTTATTTTTAGGTATAGTTCAGTAGCAGGAGGGGTAGGAGTCATTCCCTAGAGCCTAAAGTGAGGAAGGGGAAATGAGACAAAGGCTAACTAAGGACGAAGTACGGAAGATTCTTACTCCCAGGTGAAGGTTCTAGAATAAGGATAAGGAAGTCCACCCAAGAAGACGAACTAATGGAGGGAGACATTTTGGATTGCTGAGGTGATGGTCCTGGTTTCTGAGGTGCTTGATCACCAGGATGCTCAGGAAGTTATTTGGTTCTTGTTGGATTTCGGGGAACTGTTCCCTTTCCTCCGAAGTTGGAATATAGTCAGTGTGCCACGAGTGACTCCTTTTGTTGTCAATTGATTTGACTCTGTCTCCTCCCAGGAAGGATAAGATAGAGATTATCTCGTCTTTGTGGTTTGGGTTTAGTAAGAGCATGGCTTAAAGAAGCGAGTGTGATTCATTTTACACATGGAGAAGGGAATCGAAGATGGATGGAATTTCTTCAATTCAAAATATCCATTGCGTTCTTTTCTATTAATATTAAAGCTTGGTCACCAGAATGTTAATTGAAGAAATGTCTTCCCCGTGGCCAGAGTAAAGTGTTTGCTATTCCAAAGGGTGCTTCTCTGATCTTCAAGCTTTCCCGTGGTGCGCAAATGAAACTATTTTCTTGCCTTCACAATGTCCTATATCTGGCATGTCTCTTGGGATGAGTAACATGAAGCTCAAAATTCATGGGTGTATTGAATACTCCCCAATCAAAAAGGGAATTGGTCTATGGTCAATTCAGTAACAAATAATGTCGTCAGCCGTACGCCGTTGAGCAGCAGTCTTTAGAAGCATGTCATCTATGAATGATCCGATGAAACTAGAGATGGAATAAAACCTAGCCTAGCTTTTCGTCACGCGAATTAGCCGCCAGTCTTTGAGGTCTCTATTAGGAGAACGACTTAATAATAAGACTAACATATATAACGTTACTAGGTAGAAGCTGCACTGTTTGGCTTTTATGGTTGGGAAGACTTCGCAACAGGTCCTACGTAGATGCCCGGCAGCTTCAACAATTCTTTGAAAGGCTCTACTTATCTTATACGGCAGCCTTATAGCATCAAGTTCACTCATCCATGCCATTGCCATTCAATTGGCACTCACACCAGTTTCATATTTGTTCTAGAAAGTATTCGTTCCCGTGTAAAAGCAAAATTGTTGAGACCAAGCAAGGAGGCACTACTGTAGAGCTCTTTGGGCCTGCCGCTTTCTCAATCGAAAATGGAAACTGTCAAGATTAGCCTACTGAACGATTCTTTCTATCATTATATATGTAATTTCAGGATTTATTTTCGTTGATCGGATCGCCACACCCGGCTTTCCTTACTGACCGCCAACCCAATCTCGATGTTTGAA